GGGCCTACTAAACAGTATCTCCTCAAATATGTGTCCACTAAAATAAGGTTTCAAATGATCAAAATTTATCGGAATATATAATATATATATATATATATATATATTCATTCAAATATTATTCCTAATAGTTGCTGTTGTAGAGATAGGTTTCAGGCAAACTGCATATATTAGCTGTCACAGATATTGAGCACTTTCAACTGAATACTGGTCATATTTTTATATTGCTTTATTAGATGCGAAAACCTATCGTTTGACTCACTGTTACAGGATTAGTGTGAGAACAAACACATTGGTCACGGCCAATTCTTGCATACTTTCTGACTCCGTTAGTTTTCGCCAATATAATTTTTCTCTCTACCAACTAAAAACGTTCATAGGCGACTGAGATTAAATACTTTGGTTCGACCAAGCTGCACACTGGCTACTTAGATACGTAGGTAGTGTTGGTTTGAATATAGTTAAATAGCGCTTTTCCAAGCGCAGCTTAGATGTCGCACAAGGCCGGAAGTAGGGGGCACCCAGTGAGGATCTAACTCGCTACTCAGTCGTAATTGTTCTAGCGAGACAATCTTACTAACCAGTACACCGCCTCGAGGTGCCCGAATATAGTTGAATAGACTGGTCGCTATAAGTCGCACTTTCTATATAAACAAGTGCGATATGTGTTTAGGTCATTTTTTTTCGGTAATGAGAAATGGTTATTATTTGTCAAATTCTCCACTCACCTGGCTTTTTTTTTTTTTTTTTTTTTTACATACGGATTGACCAAAAACCGTTTCGCTGCAATAAATCAAATTTGAAACTGTATAGGAAAATCTGGCGCAACTGACTGGATTTTACCAAGATCAGTTAATGAAACTTATTATAAATTAATATAGGTACCTCCACGAGATCGCTAAAAAAAGAGCATAGCATGATGAAAAAGACGCCAAACTTGACGAAAACAAAATTTTATCGTGATTTCGTGGAGGTACCTAAATTAATACAATTATGGCACAAGGCCGAAAAGTGGGGGATGGGCTGAAGCTGGTCTTCACGATCTTATACCTAGCTAATCGGATTCACGACTCGTTCACTCGTTACAATTTCCTCAGTCACCATAAAAACTCATCCGTCTTCAATCAATCAGATCAAGACCAGTTAATATCTATATTAAAGACTAGTGTTCTATGCTATTAACATTGACCTCAATAATTTGTGGGGATAGCACCACCTCGGGGAAAACCTTTATTTCAGGACAACGGTTGGTTATGATTCACTTCTAGAAATATTAGTCTCCGTTTGACATAAGTTGGGGATGTAATCGGGACGAACACGCACACCAACCCTGTGGTAGGGGGGGGATCACTTCTCGGACAAACCCTCTTCCTGATTTACATAAATGATCTACTTGCTATATTTCGATCCTTTATAAAGATCGATGCCGGTGATACGATGTATGGGCGCACCTCCTCTTAAAACTCTTGACGATGACCTGAGATTGGCAGCTAATCTCTCGTTTGATCTAGCACTAAACTCTGAGTATGGTGGGGGGAGGACTGGCTTTAACAAAACTAGTTATGTTCGGTCATCGCCAATCGGACCCCGAAATACCGCCAGTCACGATGACTGGATGCCTCCTCGATGAGGCACCGTGTCTTGATACTATTGGGCCTAAAAACTAACACCCGACCTAAAGTGGAATTCTTATACTTATTCTACCTTTTACACGAGCCAGATCAGGCTGAAAATGAAGTCCTATTTCGGCGGGAGTTGCCCAGTCCTCACCTTCCAGTCTCTTCAGAGTTCAAAAATGTCTTGGTCATTGTGGGTGACAAATGATCTTCCGCCCTCCCACTTCACTCACACGGGATGTGGCAAGCTTCATATTGTTCTCGCTATAGTCGTGAGATTGGTGGTTTTAAGGAACATGGAACCACTTAATTGCTAGTGTTCCCAGGTCCGTCATGACCCGGGATGGTAGTACCTGTTAGGGTCCCAGCTATGGGCAAACTCTTAACCCCTGAACTTGGGTCAAAACACTATGAAAGTGTAAAAATAGGTTTTAATACTAGCAATAAATTTTTGAAAAAAAATATTACCAATAAAAATCTTGTCGGCATTAAATAACCCATTGAGATGTTGATATGCCATAAAACAAACAAACGACAATGGTCCGAAAGTCTTGTCACCCACAACATATAGTTTTATTTCAACGCTCTATGGGGCATTATCGAGAAGTTTCAGATGGACGATACCAGGATACCCATTAGTTGAAGGACGCTGTTCGGAGAGCTTTTGCAACGAACAACAGCTTAATAAAACATCACACAGGACATGGCGCCGCCAAGAAAGTGAATAAACTGAATCCAGTACGTTTTGTATTGTTCTAGTTACCATTTTGGTAGGGAGTGACAAGACTTTCGGACCACACTGTACATCATTAACAAATTTCCCTCCACTCAGAGACGCCATTTTGTCCTTTTTTCATTCGAAAGGTATTGCACTTAATGATCTTAATATCTTAATTTTCAAATACGCCAAACTGTAGACGTTGCTTTGAAAATAGTTCCCGCTGATTCAGGTGTATACAAGAGGTATGTTGCTCCCTCAACACCTGGTCACAAATGTTTACTTTCATATCTTCTCTGGACAATTTTTTCCCAAACGTTGGCATTTTTAAGCCGCTACAATAATAGCAAAGAATATAAGATGAAACTTCTTCCATGAAAAAACTTTTTCCATTTTAGCGCCAAGTCATTGAACCTCGCAGGTTTGTTGTCTCTTTTTTTTTTTTTTTTTTTTTTTCCGTCCAGCTATTTTTTAAGTCGGTTTTACTGGTAAATAATGGAACATCCACATATCTCAGCTCCTTATATTTTAAATAAGGTGTACTTAGGCAGAAAGACTTTTTTTTTTTTTTTTTTTTTTTTTTTTTTTTTTTTGAAAAATGTAATTTCAAGGTTAGCCAAAACTTGATATTTTTACATTGAAATATGAAATTCAATATATTGCCTATTTTCAATATTAAATTTACAGCTAATATCGCTGCACCGGAGCAAATAATCTCATACATGGTGGCAATAAAGTCTCTATAGAGTTAATTATTTTTTAAAAAAGTCTTGAAGCAGGTGGCTTGCCGTTCGAACAGTATCGGAAATTTACTATTGTTTACCATACCATTTTATTAACCAGAACCATTTTAATAAGAAATTTCTGGACCGTTGATCAATTGACTTTATTGCCACACTGTATGTAGACCAATACGTCGACGGGTTCCAAAATAATGCCCACCAGCAGCACTCAAATCCTCTATTAATACACTGCATAGTCTCCTTAACAATTAACACAGGTCTGTATTCTCGGCTGCATATTCTTAATCAGGAATAGCAGTAAAATAGTTTGAATCCTGTTCTCTATGTATAAAATGCTATTTATTGTTCCTTTTTGACAAATACCAAAAACTCTCTATGACTAGGGTTACGAACACATCACGTTGAAACACCGTACCATCTCCGAGGTTAAGCAGTGTCGAGGCTGGTCAGTATCTAGATGGGTGACCGCTTGGGAATACCAGGTGCTGGTCTAATGGCACCGAATTGTTAACAGGAGAGCAGTAATCCAATTCCCGTTGGGATAGATTCATTTATCTGCAAGTAACTTTGGGAATGTCATCAACCTTTTCGTAATTACTAAGACTTCTATCGCTAAATCATTGAATTTTTTTTAAAAAATTCAATTCTATATATATTGAACAATAAAAAATTAAAATTGTCAGACACACTGGGTTGTATATTAATATTCGTTCGTTTTTATTTCATTTAGATTCCTCGACTTGTTTCAGCCAACATGGCCATCATAAGTAGAAAAATATTCTGCTTGCTGGTAGCAGTGAACTAAAGAAATATCTTGGAGAAAATGGACTTTTGTCTGTAGTTTTTTTTTTTTTTTTTTTTTTTTTTTTTATATATTTTTTATTTTAGTCAGTCCTTGTGCTGGTCAAACAGTCTCTTAAGTTCTTATTTGAGATAAGAGCTGGATGGTTTCATGCTGCTCTGAATTCCCTTGGTCATTTTGACAGTCGCGCGCGTGTGTCTAATATATTTATTATATTATTATATTATATTATATTATTATATTATATTATATTATTATATTATTATATATTATATTATATATTATATATTTATAACAAAAAATAATCTTACAATATAAATATTTTCTGGCTTTGACCTGCAAAGTGTTCATAAGCCGGAAAGAAATCAGATTTAACGAAAATTCTTTTAATTTTTGCCGCACCTAACTTTCCATCTTGTTCATAGTCTGCAAATATGTAGCTTTTAAAATCGTTTAAAGTAATATTTATTTGATTTAGGTTAATCCTCAAACAATTTTGGTGTTTGAAAAACTAGTTTGTTTTTATTATTTATTTAAATATAATCGGGTGTCATGAGAAAGTCTCTTAAAATAGCAAACGCTGAAATTTATTCTGCCTTACCTAATTTCTCCGAATCTTAACATATAAGGAAGTTTGCTTCTTGATCGCAGCAGGAACTATCCAACATCCCCCCCTTGTCTTGTACCTTCTCACTTTACCGTTCTCATTACGCTTTTATAGATATTCATTAATAAATTTAATGTTTTGAACAATTTCTTGTCGGTCAGTTATGTGCCATGCGTGATACACGCTTAGGCGATCATGTATACTTCGATACATGACATTTTTCCCGCAGTAGGTTGCCTTTATTTCTGCGGTAGACCAGTTGCCATCCAAGGTTATAAAACCGGGTCTGTCCTATTTACCCATAGCTAGGGGGAGAAGATTCATTATTTTCCAAAGGGTATTAGCACGTAAGTGAATGTAATCGATTCGACTGGAATTCGAACTCTGCTCTCCTATTTCTCAATCCGAACCGCTATCCACCGTAGTAATTTCAATTTTTTTTTCTTTGTGCAGATTCGAGTAAACCTGGCGTCTTCATCAGGGAAAGCTACTATAGTGTTTCTTTGCAAGCGAGATAATGGATTCTGCTATGGATTTCACTCCGCCAAAAAAGTTCAGAAAGCTTGACTCTGGGGATGTTGGAACTGACGATCTCTGCGACGAACATAAACCCCGTGCAAGTGATAGTCTAACCAACCGTATTCTTCAAGAAAAGGGTGATGAAAACGAAAGTAAAAGCAAAGACTTTGAAGAAGAGAGCAAAAATATTGCCGCTGATTTTTCTTCTCCGGCGAAAACGATACAGAAAATTCAGTCGGGTAATGATCAATTAAAATCAGAAGTTTATGAATCGAAGAGGAAAATTGACACCCGTGAAGTGGCCAGTAGCGGCGAAATGAGTACAAACGGATTGAACATACACAAAAGGCACAGAAAACCTGATGATGAAAATAAAACTAACGAAACTGTGACTTCTCCACCGAAAAAAGCTCAAAAAATCGATAGCTTAGCTTCGACCTACGACCACAAAATCGGCAAAGTCGAAGCGGGCGACAATCTGAATGAAAACTCTATAGAAAAGACAACCGGAAAAGTTGTCAAAGCTACAGTAGGCAACTTTGATATTTCTGAAAGCCTTCCTGCTAAAGTTACTTCTGAAAGTGGACAAACTAACCCCGATCAAAGCTCTGGCGATTCTAATTTGTCTTCCCCGTCTAAAACTCAAAAGTCAAGTTGCGAAAAAGACCCTTCTAGCGAGAAAGTCGATGAAAATAAAAATATCTGTTTATCTGGCTCGGTCTGTGAAGAGATTGAGGCTAAGAACGTTGAAGAGAAAAGCCAGCTTAAAAAAGAAAGTGATCGTCACAAAAGTACGAAAGACTTGCAAGGGGATGTCCTGCAAAAGACAGATTACAGAGAGACTGATGATGAACAGAGAACTATTAGTGTTGATGAAACCGTCCATGATGACCGAATTGGTACGTATAAGATTGACAATGGAAGCAAAAATACAATTGAATCTAAAGAATCGTGTGAAGACTTTGCGCAGAATAAGTGTGATGAATCTAGCATGGGACGCCAAAAAGCTTCGGCCGAAAAAGACATAAACGCTGTTCAAAATGGACGTCCCGTTGTGACGGAAACTGAAGGTGAATCGGCCTGTGTTGACCAAAATAGCATTAGTGACACACACGCTGCCGAAGAAAAAGACGCGGCTGATTCAATGAAAGCTGGTATCTGTGTCGATAAAGAACCTGTAATCTCTAAAGATATGGAGAAAACTGGAGATGCTGAAGAAAATGAGGGAAATATTCCAGATCTTAAAGTTAAGGTTATAAAATCCAGTTGCGATGTAAGCGGCTTTGCTGACAGCCAAAATAAAGTCGAATGCCAAAATTATGTGACGGAATTCGACGAAACTCTCTCGAATGAAGAAACAAAATTTAAGGCCAATCAATCTCTGCTTAATAAAGATGAAGACTTGTCTGATCTTGACCAATATCAGAAACGGCAGCAGTCGGTGGAAGTCGACAATGAAACTGTCAAAAATCCTGGTCTCTCTGATCTTTCTTGTGACAAGGTTAAGCCCGACCCTGACATAAGAGAAATTGAAGCAAATGGTAATCTTATAAGAACCGATGTTACTTATGACTGGTCAGATTCTGAATCTAAAAATGTTTCTCTGGATAATAGTAAATGCCAAAACTCTGTCAAATTGACAGGGTTATGTGATGCTATAGATAGCAAAACTAACAATACTCAGCCGGAGAACGAATCTCTATCGAAAGATAAGCAAAACGAAGCAAATGAAGAAAATTATAAAGTAGCTGACAATATGGCTGTGGAACAAAACGATGAATGCATGGAACACAACGATACTGTTAAGAATAATGTCGAATGCCCAAAAGAAAGGTCTGAAACTAACTCGGCAGAAAACAGGAGTAGCGAGCACCACGGCGAAAATTCTACCGGAAAAATGGAGTGCCAATTGCCTGAAAATGGTCAAAAGAAAAACATCACTGACGATTCCGATACAGTGAATTCGAAACTCGATATTGCTGACAAGGAGGGTGGTGTGGTCTTAGAAAATAGCGACTGCCAAGTTTCTACAAAGGAAAATGAAAAGCCTGTCTCGAAGAACGAAGAAACAGAAAATTCTGACGGTGTACCGGAAGAGTCTGCGAGTGAAGAGTCGAAGCATCTTGGAAAGGCAGACCAGAAAACTGTAGATAATTCCGAATGCAAAGACTCTTTAAAAATAAAGAAAGCAAAATTATCTTATAACGAAACCGCTAGAACTCTGGACGTTGATATTACCCCCGGCTTTGAGCAGGGTCAAGAATTTGTCAAAGACGAAGAAATAACTGAAAAACCAGAAAGTAAAACAGAATTGAATAATGGTCAGACTAAGATCAAAGACATAAATACTACGAAAGACGCTACAGAGATTTCGAATGATAATCCTACTCAGAGGAACTGCAATGAATTCGTTGCCAGTGTACTTGACCACGAAAATAGAAAACCTGATCTGCTTAATTTAGATAAAGTAAATACTGCACAGAATATGAAATCGGAAAAAAATGTTGCTACCAATGAGCCTGAAAAAATGGTCGATGGTGACATGGAATTAGATTCTGCTCTCTGTCAAGAGAGCACGAAAGAATCTGGCCAAAATATTGCTGATAAAACCCAGTATATAAGGAATGATACCACTGGTCAATCAAATATACTTAAAGATGCTGATCATTCTGATCTTTATGAGCATGAGGCAAAACTCCAGGAGTCAGCGGAAATTAAAGAAGCTGTCACCGATGTTGAAAGCAGTAAATCTGCTGACATCTCTAATGAAACTGACCCCAATCAGGCGGCAAATAAAACTGATAAAGACGATATTATGAGTAGAACTGATGCCGTTAATGATCAACCAGACAAGAGCATAAAAAGTGCTCTCCGGGATAAGGAGTGTCAGCACGCTATAAAACAAAGTAATAACATGAATAACCAAACTTTACCTGACAATGAAGAGAATGGGACAACTTTACAAAAAGATGCCGATTCAAACGTCGAGGAAAACAGTACTAAAAAATTCGATATGGTTACTGAACAAGACAAATGTTTGGAACCTTCAGTTATTGCTGAAGACTATGATGATTCGAAAAATAGGGGAAAAAATGGCGGTGCGACAGATGCTAGTAACTTTGCTACAGGAAGTACTCCAAAGGAACGCAAGGAACAGTATACTGATCGTGACTATGTGAAAGGATTAGAACCAAATATTTCTGTAAATAAAACTGGTAATTCTTATAGCGAAGGCCAAAGCCTCACCGGCATCGCCACTAATCCGCGTGGTAAGGACGATAAGGATTTATCAGTGTCTCAGTATGGGAAGCGTCTAGAGACAGCGGAAGACTACAAAGAAAATATTAGTGATGTCAAAGAGAGTAAACGAGACGATAGTCTCGAAACAGGTGCTGATTACACTGTTGATAATGACAAACCCGGCAGAGAAAGCGACGAGAGTATGGAAGTTGATACTGCTCAAGAGAAAGAAGTATTCCCAGATACAAACCAGCAGAATGTAGGTAACGATGATTTAAAGATCGATAATGTAGAAGCTGGTGAGAGTAATGGATTCATGGAATGTGATGCCGTACAGGATAAGGACTATACAGGTGTTAATAAAGAAAACGAAGTTCATAATGAAAGCGAGAAGCATTATAAGAAAAGTGACATCGAATGCCAGGACATTACGAAAGGCGATAAAGATATGTGTGATAGTGACAGCAAGAATACGTTTACTAACAGTGAAGAGATTCGTTCTCCAGAGACAACAGAAGACATGAAAAATATAACTAAAGATGCAAAAACTGTAAAGTCTAATGATGAATGCATAGAACCTGGTGCTGCTGAAACAGATTCCAAAGACTCTGCTAAAGAAAACGGAAACGCCTCTAGCGTCTCTAATGAAAAAGGTGACGCGTTTGACAGTGAGGGCAAGGGACTTGATCCTCTTATTAATAATGGACGATATACGGATGTTGAAAAGGCGGCGGAAAAAGCGTCCACAAACGACGAAAGTGAGGACGCAAAACTCTCGCAGAGTTCTTCGACAAAGTTAGAAACCTCTAACAATGAGACAAGTAAGATTGCAAATGCACATGAGGAGACTGTTATTGGTAGCATACGCAGCGTTTCTGCTTTGGAATCTTGTCAGGCTAACGACGCTCACAAAAATGTCAAAGAAATAACTCGTGACTGTCAGGAAGAAAAAGATTCACATACAAATGGTTGCAAAACTTCAGATTCTTTAAAGGACAAAGAAAAGTCTGCGGTCTTTAAAGAATCAAATCACAAAACCAGCTACTCTCTTAACGACGAAGCCACTGCAACCTCAGAAAATGAGAAAATAAACAAAAATGGTTCAAACTGCGCTGATAGGAACGAGAAAAATGACAAACAGTTAAAATACGATGACTTAGATTCGGGCTGTCATGAAGTATCTCTTCCTGAGAAAATAAATCTTAAAAATAACGATGAACCTAAAAAAATGACAAACAGTGGAGATCTAAAAACTGAAATGCCTCTGATCTCTAACACAGTCGCAAATGATAAGAAAAATAAATCTGTCGAAATCTCAAAAGACAAAGAGTCGAATGTTTCGGAAAGTCTTGAAAAACAGAAAATGCCCGTTTCAAAAGAAGAATTTTTAATTGAAAAAATGGCGGAAGATGTTACCCATAATGCCAGAGAGAATAGAAACGACGCTACTGAAGATAAAATCTCTTTAGAGGTCGAGACGAAGGATAATACTGTTAACAATGAAGATGAGAAAAAACAGGATTCGTTGAAAGACGAAGAAAATAACGGTAGCGTTGGTTGCAATGACGTCATTGAGCCACAGGCAAATCTCGTAGCTACCAAAGATGAAGGAAAGAACTCGAGTGGCCCAGAAAATAAGAACCAAGAAATGGATACTCAAAACCTATCTGAAGATAGGCAAAACTCTTAATCTGAGAATGTTAACTACGTATCTGGCAAAGACCAAAAAGTGGAAGCTTTAAAACAAAGAACCCGCCACTCTGCAGAAGGTGGCATTACCAGGAAGTATCAATGGGAAAATCTCGAAAATAAAGACTGTTGTTAAGGTTGTCTGATAAGGAACTGAGATGTTAAGATTCTTAGGGTTTTTTTTTCTTCCTAAGAACTAAGCAAGATGCGCTGTTGACTCTAGACTCAAATTGGAACTTCAGATAAACGTATAAGAGGGATGATCTTAAGGGACTGATTTTAAATAAATCTCATATCGCTAATGTTTTCCAGAAAATAAACCTAGAGAAGGATGTCCTTTTAAAAGTGAAAAATTAACTCTTATTCTAATGGTAGAAAATAAGGGTCGCTCTTTAACCAAAACACGCGGCTATAGTATTCTAAAAAATTAAATGTTTATTCTCAAATGCTAAAAAAACTTTAAAAAAAAATAATAAAGCTATTAAGTTAGAAATAAATAATAAAGGAAGGTCAAAGAAACCATTTCAATTTTTTTTTTTTAGTATTAAACAAAAAAAAAATAAAAAATCTAATACTTTTTAAATTTCATTCGTAAACTAATCAAGACTCGTTACCATAGTTATAACTCTCTGTAATCCAGGCCACATCTTGTTCAACGTTTCTCTGAGATATCGCTATCTACCACGTGAATTTGCGATACTTGCGTGGCTAGATTTTTACGCTTTATTTAATACTGTATAATTTGGTGGAGGAGGTAATGACTTCTGTCAATCGTTAAAAATTGATACCTTTTTGTTTTCTAATTAAAACTTTGTAAATGCGTCCAATTGCCTATAAAGGAAAGTTTAATGTTACAGGATTCGGGGTGGGGAAGAAACCCCGGAATTGATTTGTTATGGATATTGAGTTATAACGTCTATATACGTTGTTTTCAAGAAGACAAAATCAAAGGACTTTTATATCAATGCCGGGGTTAGACTGAACAAGATAGATTTCGAACCACCATTATTATGGAAATGGTTTTGTCATCAATACCAAATAGAAGAATAACGTCCACAGACATTGGAAAGTCTCAGAATATTACAGTTCAAGACAAATAGGAAGGAATTTGAATGCATTCACAATAAAGTTATGGCTCTTAAAATAAAAATTCAATTTATATTGTGTAATGAATAGCTTGAAAGTCCATTACTATACACATTGAACGATATTAAAAGAACTATTAATAATATTCTATCATTCTTTTTTTTTTTTTTTTTTTTTTAAACATTAAGATTAGAAATCTTGTAGCACTTTTCGTGAATTAGCACACGATTGGGTAGTTTAGTGTGGGGAGGACGATAAGTTATAAATTACCAGGTATAAAGTAACGGACTCCTCCTAATATGCTCTCTTTACGAGAAACGGATCAGGCCGAAAATGTAATAAAGTGTCTACGCATCATTGTAAGTGGTTATTTTCCTCTTCCCCACCCCCACACTGACGAAATGTTGCAAGTCTCTGACTACTCTGCAGTTATTTCCATGTCAAATGTTCAAATGAGCTAAATTCCTTTTAATTCCACTAGTTCAGACCTTCACGGCTAAGATCCGACAGGTTACGAACCATCTTCATTCCCTTCATATTTATCGCGTAAGAAATAAGTCCCACACGAACAACTTCTTCCCAGGAACCGCTACTTTGTGGAACCGACTCTCAAGAGGGTGCTTTTCGGGCCACTACAATCTTAACTTTCAGTCGCTCGTGGAACTTGTATAACATGAACATTTGTGAAAAAAATCTCACAGATTTGCAATGTGGTTAGTTGAAAAAGATATGATTAATATAAATTTACTGCCAATTTTGAACAGCTTTCATGCGTTACGCATTGCTGAGTCAAGTCATTTTTACATTATTATTATTTTTTTTTTTTTTTTTTTTTTTTCAAATTATTTTTAAAAAGTGATATACACTCTTAAAGATAAAACAAGATTTATTGCATATATGAATACATTTATGACATAAGGCCGAAAATGGGGGGGAGAGAAGGGCTGGTCGTCACTTACTATCTTATACTTAGCTAATTAGATTCACGACCCATCCCATCATTACAATTTGTACATTCACCACTTCATTCAATCCTCACTGCATACTCTCAGAGAACCTTAACAAAACTCTTTTCTTTCTAAACTTATTTACGAAGCAGAATTTCAATCGAAATCTTTTATTTCTGGCTGTCAACACTTTACTCTCGTTCGTTTAAATTTGAAAGGGAAAATTCAAAGCAAACGTTGAATTCACATGTTATTTTTTGGAAGAAAGGAAATTATAAAGATTTGTTTATCTGTTGGTGCTACTAATTGTGTACAAATGTGGAATGATGCTGGGAATTTTTAATGTAATTATCTAGCTTATTTCATTTAGATTTTTTCTTTTACTTTATCTTTCCATCACATTTGTTATTAGACACTCCCACACTGTGATTATAGAAGGTCTGCCAGAAATAGTGAAATGTTGTAAGAGCCAAGCAGCAACACCACGATTTTGACATAATAAAAAATACTACTCTGATCAAAGAAGAAAACAATTCACTACGACGCAAAAGTCTAGAGAATGCCTTGATCGCAAATTCATTTACAGTAAATTTGCGCCCTGCCCTCTTGCATTTCCACCATTTTCCGTTGTATTCATTATATTCACTTGGAAAAGGGATGAATCCACCTCTTCTCCCCTCCAGCTATGGGTTAATTAGTAAGATTTGTATCAATAAACCATTATCTAAAAACAAAAATGCTTACAATCTAAAAATATTTTCTGTCTTTTAAATAGGCTGCAACGTCGTAGAAAACTAACAAATCTTCATTATTTTCTAATTTTTCATATTATTACATCATTATTATTATTATTATTATTACTACTATAGCAATAATAACAATCAATTGCCTAAATGTTACGGTCTGGATGTGTGGTTACAACAGAATGGCGAAACACAGCAGGCTGATCAATGGAAGCTTTGAGGGTATATTTTGATTTCCTTACGAAGGTGACATTACATGGCCCGCACGCTAGCTTTCCTACCCCCCCTACACACACACGCGCACTCTGCGATTGTTTTCTTTGGGTTTACTTGAAAGTTAAGGTCGACAAACAGCAGTCATTAAGAGATGCCATCCGCCCAAAAAGTGGCAGAAATACTGCCAAAAAGTCACTGTCCGGCTGATAATGTAAAACTTTCAAAATCCTCTACAACTGTGTGTGGCGGAAAGCGGCCAGCATTTGGAGAATGCCATTTTTAAAAGTAAATGAATAAAAATTGTAGTCTTTTGTTTAAACAATCAGGTGGTTTTTGATATTTACCAAGAACCACCTGATGATACCGTAAAGTTGAAACTCGGGTCGTGCTAACGCTGAATTTTTCAATCTTTTAACAATACTATTATCAGATCCACACACTCAATTTTTAGAATTGTGTATTGAGCACTGTCTCAAAATATCCATCCTTTGGTCTGACTCGGTCTGGTCAAATAATTTTATATTCTTATATATATATATATATATATATATATATATAAGAGAGAGATAGAATCCTAATGTAAACAAAGCAATTCCTAAAGAAGTGATGGATTTTCATTTATTAATCCGACAGATTTAATTACATAAACGTTATTTTTAGTGGATACCCGTATTTGTGTTGAAGCACGGTTTCCCCTGCCCAGGAGAACGCAGGTTCGAATCCTGCCGGAGAGCGCATATTTTTCTTTCATAAGATTTCTTGAATATCCGTACCGATAGACGAAAATAAATATATTGCTTAATAAATAAACGGAACGTCTACTTAAATGCGAGTTTCCACTAAAAATAACGTTTAAATTATATATATATATATATATATATATATATATATATATAAAAACAAAAATGGTGTGTGTGTATTGATTTTCTAAGCGTTGCTTAGATGTGGCACAGGGCCGAAAGTATGGGACACCTAGTGAGGATCGAACACACTTTTCAGTCGTAACTGATCTAGCGAGACAAGCTTTCTAACCATTACACCACGCCGAGGTGCCCCACATATATGTGTGTATATACATATATGTGCGTGTCTATGTATGTATATATGAGTAAAAGTTTATCACTTAGCTGACTGATTCCG